CTTAAGGAATAAAAAAATATATTACATTTAATTTATTATTTATAAGGAGAAATTGTCATTTGCCACGCCGATGCTCATTTTTAGATTAAATGCTCACAAAACGCGTAAATGTTCAATTTGTGTCCGGGGAGATACAATGTTTGCAAGTAGATACACAGTACATCGGGTAGATGCTCAGGTATATAAGATTATTACTCTTTCTAGGTACTTCGTACTTCGAATATGAGTATCTACTCACTTTTATTCATACCACCCAATGTCTCGCTTCAATGTTTGATGATGTTGATTATGAGCACAACGCTGATCAACTTCCGTATCCGAATTATCCATGAAATAAATCATTGCGATTTGCACCTGAGGTAGACCTATGTCAGCTTGTCGTCTTCTCGGCATTGTAATGAACTTCATAAAACGACACAGAATTATTTTCACAGTCAATCAAATATGTAAATTTTGTCTTGAGAATTTTAAAATACTGAAAACTTCGAATTAAATCTTCGAATAACGGTAAAGTTTGAGGTTTTGTCGAAACCAACAAAGTGAATATAGGTAAATAGAATGGCAGATCAAAATTAATAAGAAACTTTCGCAATGCGTAACTAAATTCACTTTAACGAACACTTTTCTTAAAATAAACGACGTTTTTTGTTACGAAAAAACAAACAACGACTTGAAATGCAATAACACTTTTCACAATCGCACGGAAGAAATAGTTTTGTATGACACGTCAGTTAGGCGACAGGTCCGTCAGGAACGCCAACTATTCAAATTCATTCGAAGTGGCGATTCCCATGCAAAATTTTAATATTTTTTTTATCTTTTAGCCGTCTTATTTTTTATAAATTTTCTTACATATAAACCTTGTCCTGACAATGAGGAACACGTAAAAAAAAGAATCGTCCAATTCGGTGCGGTCGTTCTGAAGTTATGGGCGTACATACATTTCGGCGATTCATTTTTATTAATATAGATATGGCTTCACTATCAAATTCATGTAGGATATCAAGAATATCTTAGACAGTTTGAGATGGACTTAGATTTGGTACATAAATCCAGCAGTGTTTATCAACGGAGTGACGTTTGGCTCTAGCCCCAGTAAGAGGATTCTGATTGCAAGAAATACATTTTTTCCTAGAGTTTATCTGAGTATTTCTTTGCTGGTTGGATGAGACACGCGGATTAGATGCGACACCAGGTTGTGTTGTGTCATTTTTATTATAGGTCCTGACATTTGGAGACATGTTGGGAAAGTTTTTAAGTAATTCAGAAGAACGTTTTGTAGTTTCATCTGGGTGTTTATTGATATCACCAAGATCTTTCCCTGTTGCCTTAGAATTCTGACAATAATTATAACTTTCCACATCAGTGACATCTTGACGGTTTGAAGACTTTGGGCGCGCAGTATTATCAGCATCTGAGCTAGTCGAAGATTCATCTTCACCATCAAGAACAATATCAGCTGATCGGCTGAACGTCGCGATAAGGATTTTCTCAAAACATAGGTTTTTGCAGCGAGCGGTAATCTTCGATTGTCACCAATTGTAGTTTTTTGCTTACGGGGTATTGGAGAAGCAGGGCATACTTTATACAACTCGTTTTTTAAGAATGTGATATCTTGCTGCAGAAGACTAATTAAAGTAGTTTGTGTTTCTATTAAGGACTTACAGTTGTTCATTTCATCAGATAATTTGGAGATATTAGATGAACAATTACATCCACAGGAAAAAGTCTTAAAGAAATTGTTTAAACAGACATTTACAGCAATTATTATTTCACTGCCCCGGTTACACTCTTTTTAGGTTTTGATGATTGAACAATTTGTTTATACACAGTTCTGATAACCGACGGAACGAGGTGCACACCCTGGTTGATGGTAGAGATATAAAATTAATTTAATTATAATTAAATTAATTAAATATGCTTTCAATCAACAATCAAAATTAATGTCGGAATGAAGCTAACATTGCTCCGTTTTTTTTGAAGGGAATAAAACAATTAGCAATAATTTGTTTTTAAATTAAAATTTTTAATTACATTTCAGTTGTTCGTTTCTACGATCAATTATTTTATTTGCAGCGGTTTCACGGCCACCAACGCTCACAATTTTTAGCTGTCCGTTGTTGTAAATCTGGTAAGTACAGTGAAACAGCTGCTAACGGTAAATCTGATAAAGTTATTAGTTAATTCAGTAACAAAAGTTTGTGCGAGCCAAGGGTTACAGTTCCTTACTTTATAGAGATTATCAGTAAACTCAATCGAACTTCTCTTATTACGGATAACTTTTTTTACCGAAAATGGAAAACACACAGTTTACGACAACACAAATAATAAAACAGAATGAGGAAGAAACAACACGAAATTACCATGACTGTTTCTTGTTAGATATTAATAAGTGTGATAAGTGAAAAGGATGTTTTTTAGAGCTATATGCACTTGAAACAACTATCCTAATTTCCTATTATACAATTAGTCAGTTTTGCACAAAAATGTGAGTTTAAACCAATAAAATACTGTACGTACATAAGTAGTTAATTATCTTTTTATTAATAAAATAAAAAAAAGGTATCCTTCGAGCCGGATTTGAACCAGCGACCTATGGATATCCGTTTCTTTGTTATTCCACTACAGTCCACCGCTCTACCAACTGAGCTATCGAAGGCTTGTTGCGCTGCCTCGCCATGAATGATAATCTCTGACACGTTCAGCACCAAAAATGATTGTTTCAATTGCGCTACAATTTACAACTAGAAACACTTCTGTTAAAACGATTTAGTAATTTAAGTATGCATTCAAGCGATTAGAACCCTAATATTAAATTAATAACAGTGTAATTTTTTATAAGAAGTGCACTGTTGCGCTTATTAATAAAGATATCCTCGGCGGGCATTAAAATTCACTTTTTAGGATGCCCATGTTGATAGCTTTTTCTACGTCTGTTGAATAATCCATGGACTATTATTAAACAGTTTTTAGTTGACAAAAGAAATTATTTCTCGCGGGTGACGATTCCAGTGAGTATAATTTTTCTTTCTATTGGTTTTTGTCAGTGAGTAATTATTACTCACGGGGGACGTAATCAGTAGCCACATCATTATTTTCGAAGTCTCAAACTACGCGATTATTTGCACGACCACGGGAACGCGGGATAGGAGGTCGCAGATTCAGATAAACCACTGCTACTACGATCCGATAATAACACAACGGAAGTCGGACTTTGGAAATTTTCAAGGCGGCGATGCTCTTGAATCGAAGCGTCGCTTAACTGTCAAAATTTGTTCCTTGTGTGTTGTGGTTGTGATATTATAGTATAAAAGTGTTAGAAGAGAGGGAAGTGGACGACAATGACAACGAAATGTCTTCCATACCGCCTGAAGTAGTAAAAGTAGCAAAAGAAACATCATTAAATTTGTTACCGGAAATATCCAGAAAGAAATACCAGCGGCGTACCAGGCTTTCATGGATTGGCGAACAAACAGGAAAGTAAAGTCCTTCTCTGAAAATGTCTTCCAGGCATATTTTGGAGAACTATCCGAAAAGTATAAACCGCCGTCTTTGTGGGCACATTATTCTATGTTCAGGAGTACAGTGGATCTAAATAATGACAATAACAGAGTAACTTACTTTAAATTGTATGTGCTACTCACGAAATACATAGTCAATATTTTTAAGAAAAAAAAATATTGACTATGAATTAAAATATTAATTGAGACATTTTTAAGGTTGCTTTAATCATGGACTGCGCTTGATGAAGGACGAAGATATAAAAGACATTGGATCTGCTTTTTTAGTAAATATTCTTCAATGAAAAACAAAAATAATTGGAACATTGACGGTACCAAATAAATTCTATATATGTAATTGCATAGTCTTCTTTTTTTTTACATTACCAAAAAGGGATTTGCGTACGGTGCAAAAAATTGGTATAAATAAGTTTAGTACGATGGGGTAACAAATAGCAACATATTTATCTCTGCCGAGTCCCGAAAAATACTCAGGACACTGCTTTAGAAGATAATGTGCCACTGCTCTTGAAGATGCTAATTACGAAAGTGTGCGAAACGTTCAGCCCAAAAACTCAATTAACACGGTTCCAATCCGGAAAACGATCATGTATTGATTCCGACCGTGGAATTTTATTATTTTGCTAAAATTTTAAGGAAATCAGTCTCTACTTCATTCTTTCTTATTAAGCAGTGTTCTCAAACATTACAACATTACAGAAATATAAGTAGGGTCTTATCTAGGGAACCAGTTTCAATAAGGGATTATTTAAAAAAATTCGAGAACCGTCATCAGTTTTTCGTATAATAATTTTAATATATCTTGTACATAGTAATTGTAACCACAACATCACGTTTCTGAGTTTCTGAGAAAAGTGAACACATAATCGAATCATGTATTCAGTTTGTTACATTTTCTGTAAGCAATTGTTTAAAAGTAGAAGAAGAATTGATAAAGTCGATGGAAGACGGCAAATAAATAAAATAATTTATAGACTATTTTAACTGAGATTAAGTTAATCACGCCTTTAACGAGGCGTTTGGCGACCTCTGATTGGTATAGAACCGGTCATGTGGTACTTGAATGCCTAATTAGTAATTACTAATTTAATCGCAATCAAATATTTAATCGAGCTTTCGTAAATCGGTTCTTACTAAAAGAGCACAGTACGAGTATGTTGCATAGCCCAAGTGAAATTTTTATACTAATTTTCATATGTGTAACGCGTGATTGTAACGTTAATAAGCACTACCTACTGCTTTAGAATTTCAAATAATTCAGATAATCCGTTTTAGATTGAATCAATAAAATAAATTTTTTCATTCATTTCTTTTAGAGACGTCTATAACAGATCTAAGGACAATGTTTGGCTATTGTAAACATGACCCGAAAACATAAGACAAAACGAAATCACTAGTGGGAGTTCTCCGGCATTCATGCGCAAACAATCGTATGTTCGATAAATGCAGATAAAAAATTAATAAATTTTGGCACCCTACCTTTTAAACACGATCATTGTAGATACCCACGCCGCTGTGAGGCTTGCTGGGACAGTCCATCCTATGTAAAAATATAATTTAATGTAGGTATCTGCTTGAAACACCGTAACAGTAATCATATTGTGAAGATAAAGTCCTTCAATGAACATCCACATGAACATTGCTGTTTTCGCATATTCCAGAAGAGCTGTGCAGGTTTTGTCAAGTCCAGGCTGCAAATAGAAGTGAACTGTGTATAGTGAATTGAAAAACATATATTTGGGGCTTTCACTTTGATTAATTCCTTCGAACGAACGAAAATAAAACCTTTTTAGCACTGAAGCGTGGCGACAGAATTTTGGTTGAAGCGATCTATTCTAAAGTATTTACGTAAAAGAGTCTTAGATAAGTGAAAAAATTATATATAATAACTTATGTACAACTACAGCTTATTTTGCCTTTCCATTTTCGTGAATATCTGTGCATAATTCAGTAACTTATAATAACTCTAACACATTTTGTTAGGGTAATAAGTGAGCATAAATAAGCAAATTATTCTAATTAAATGTGTCATCTATTCCGGTGCGTATAAGGGAAAGAAGCATAGCAATATAGAGCAATTTCATGTACCGTAAACGGTCAAAGATTAGTTTATAATTTCGAGACTCTCGCAAACGAGAAAGAAGCAGGAAATGAATAAAATAAGTTGTTTAATATGGTTTTGAGACTCGGATATGAGAGTACTTTGTGCAGTATACATTAGCAGAAACTTTATGAGGTCAAATTAATATCCATAAGATAAACTTTACTTAGAGCAAACCAAGAAGCCACTAGAAACAAACGGGAACTAAAATATGTATGTTGTTACAGAATTTGTTGTTACCATCATTATCGAATTTTTCTAATATCCTTGTTAAATCAGTTGAAAAATTCCTGAGAAACATTAATAAAGCACCATTTTAAGGGTTAACAAGGAATTTTGCAGGTAGTTTAATGCCAATATTTTTAAATTTGAAAAATTGCAGTCCGAATTTTAATGACTATGAGCTTACATGAATATTATAAGTATATTATAATATTATAATGAGATATTTTATCCGTATTCGTATTCAACCAGTAACTTACCACAATATTGTTAGTATATTTTGGTATAAACTGGCTTCTGAACGTCAAGTATATACTTAGACACACAAAAAAAAATATCAGTTTAACGTGACGACAATACTCGTTCTTATATCAGTGCTTCAAATGCTATAAAAATATGCGATCCCATTTTAGTTGTGACTTGAAAACAACTTGAAATTTCTATTACTATTGGTTGGAGCACTCGTGATGCTGACGGTATTACGAAACTTTTAAGTACTTACTTGTTGCAACTTTAGTAAATTCTGATGTAAAGTTTCAAAGTGTATATTTGACGATTTCTTATTTAACAACTGTTGGATTCTTGTATTTATCGTAATAAAATTATAAATTCGCCATATATGTTTCTCCGTGCTTTTTAGTAGTCATTGAATAATTATTTCTTGAGATAATATTAATCAGAATATTATTGTGGTTGATGTAAAAATTCATAGAAATGTTGAACATAGTGATCTCATTGTCAGTTTGATTAACAATAACGTCAAATTAAAAAAATCCATACATACAGGGTGGTCATTTTATCTGTTCATGCCTGAATATTTCTGCATAGGCAACCCACTTTATGTTTCATAAACAGCTTTGATTAATTTTTATTTTTAACTAATAGTGAACGCATAGATAGCAATGACCAGAACCAAAATTATGATAAATTATTTCTGTCAGCCAAATATTTTCAATATTCGGTTGCTTTAAAATGTTTTCGAATTCTGAAAAAAAACAGACATGCTATTAATATTGGGAAAATGTGACAAAAATTTTGATGCCACGTCATTGGTCCACATTTTTTTGAAGGAAATGTAAACAGAACTATGTATCTAAACTTTTTAAAGAATATTTTATCTGAACCGTTGTAAAATGTAGAGCTACACATACGAAGAATAATTTGGTTTCAAGATGATGGCGCTCCAGCTCATTGTCAGAGAGACGTTAGCAGCCCCGTAGCTACGGGGGGGCAAGATGGGGCTGAGCCCCCCCTAGCAGTTGTGGTTGCCCCCCCTGGAAGACTTACACATTATAAATTTCAAATTAGTAATAAAATTTCAATATAATGCCGATTGCCGAAGCATATTTGTTAGACCCACTTGCGCGCCCTTTATTTTCTTACAGGGTATGTTATTTGGCAATATCACCCTAACGTTGATGTTGACCATATATAAGAACGAACTTCAGTCATGTCACATTTTATTCCATAGCCTACTACGAAACATACAAAAAAATAAACTCAAACAAATTGGTTGTTACCTAGTGTTACTGGCCACTGCACGAATTTTTGGATGCAGTACAGCTGTTTGTGAATCTACATTCTCTGTTTTAACCAGAATAGATCGCCCGGCGCATCCAATGATGGATCAAAGATTGGCAAACTTGGTTTTTCTGGCTTTTGAAAAGTACCGTACCAATTCTTTGGACTTCGACAGGTTTTTACGAAAATTTAAGAACGTAAAAAATCGACGTTTACAACTGTTTTAATGCTCTTTCAAATGTAAAAACTGAGAAAAAATAAAGTAGTTATCTGAGTGTATTATTAAAATATATAGGGTGACTGCGAAATATATGCAATAATTTTAATCACGGCATCCCCCACCCTAGTAGAGTCGAAATATAGAAAAAACAAATTAAAAATCGAATGGGGCAAAACCCCCATGAACCACACTTGATACGAAGGCACTGAGCCACCTTGTAAACAGAATTGGAAAAACATTCGAATAAAAACGACGTAAACACTTTCAGTTTCAATTAAAAGTAAAACCGACTTTTTGCAGCTTATCATTCGTTCATTCATTTATTCATTCATCGTTAAAGGTCAGTGCGAAAATTTTATGGTAATCCTTCATGATGATCAACTTTTGATGTCCTTGCCACAACGATTTTACATTGTTCATTGGAACAAAAATAAGAGCAACTTAGAATGCTACTACCTTTTTACAAGAAATGTTGAAAATGTTGTCCTTGACTAGCCATACAGGAGTCAAAGCGTCGCAAGATGTTTGTTGATAGGTAAAAAACACCGGAGTAGCGGCTGCCACTTTCACTTGTTGTTGAAGCTCTGCAATAATTTCTGAACACAAACTAACTGTTTCGTCCAACGGATACACATTTATCGAAAACCGTCTCTTGAAATCGTACTTGTTGACGGGCATGTGGAGTTTCATCGGACAAAAAGTGGGTTACACAACGTGGACAATCAGTGGGCTCCAAACCCTGCACTTTCTCAACATGATATGGATAGGGCCGTGTTATTTTAATATAGGATGCACTACAAGCTGTGAAAATCCAACTTCTTCTTTCTGTCCTATCACGGCCACGATCGTGAATTTGAGGTTGAAGGTACCATGATCTCGGAGATGCTGTACCACTTATGCAAATGTTCGTGCACACCAATTACCATATCGACACACTCTACATGGGAAAACTGCACCATAAACCGATTTCACCGACCGGTCGATGATGACTGGCCCTTTTCGTGTTTTTCACGGTGCGAATAAAAAAGTGCCTGGTAAAGTCACTTTTTTGGTTCTTAATCCGAGCCGCTCGGTCCTATTCATTGTAGTATTTATGTAGGTCACGAAACATAACAATTTACACTTAATTTCAAATATTTTTTTCTAGACACTGCTACCATTTAGGACCGTGAATTTTACCCAGTGACAAAATCATATTGTGAGCTATTCCCCATTTTTTTTGCATGTATTTCGCAATCACCTTGTATATACATATTTACATGCAGCCCCCTCTGTCGACAAACTTGCCCCCCCTGAATAAGTTTTCTAGCTACGGGGCTGTAACGTTAGGAACAACTATTTACACATAGCCTTTGGACCAAGACTTATTGCTAGAGAAGAAGAGTACGCTTGGCCTGCATGGAGCCCTGATCTAACGCCATTAGATTTTTTCTTTGGGGGAAGGTGAAAACCACTTACGTGAAAGGATACGCCATGCAGATCTATAACTCCCAACATGTTAGATAGAGTTCGTAGAAATTTTGAACGTAGGATAGGACTTTGTGAAGATAGTTGAAGCAAGGATTTTGAACATTTATTATAAATTCGTTTCCGTTGTAATCTGATTATAATAATAAATTGAGTATTAATTTTTTCAATTTTGTCATTATTTGGCATTGACATCTTTGTAATTTTTTTTCTGTGATTGCTATGATTGCTTATATAAAAAAAATTAAATTGGACGAAGTCGTCTCTGGGGTGTTTAATATTTTGCCTATGCAAAAATTGTCAGGCGTGAACAGACAAAATGAACACCATGTATAACTCAGTACTCAATGACTATAACAATTGTTTAAAATGCCATTTTCCAGTTAATGTCTGTGAGATTTTAGTCTAGATAATTGTCTGATTTTTTGGGTTGCATTTTTACTTTGTCATAATTTAGAACTTTTATTTCGTATTCGGTTCTAGATATTTTATTGAGCCCTTCACAAAATAAATATCACTGTTAATCTCGAAATCAGGAAAAGATCAAGTTCTGACTACTGGCCATATATTTAGTATCTTAGTCTCGTGGTTTTTTCGCCCTATCGAGTATACAGGGATGTTAAGTTATCCAACAGTGATGGCGTTCGTTTCCAGAAAACAATAATTTCCAATACATTCGAATAGTTCATTGCAGCTGTCTACATTTGCAGTGGAAAAAATATAAAGTGCAATGATACTTAGTGTGCTGGAGCCTATGGTAATTTTAACGTTAAGAATATTGATTGGCATTTGAAATAAGTGATTTTAGTAACATATCTCTAGACATATATTAGGATAAAATTCATAGACTTTAGAGTTCAACCCCCTTACCCTTTGATTATTATTAGTCAGTAGATTGTCTTAGTGTGGATAACGGCGGCCAATCGGTTGGATTTTTATTAGTTTTTCATCCTTAATCACTATTTTCGGAATACTATAAATTATGTTCGCTTTTCTTTTTGCGTTCTCTTAGCTCTTTTCTGACATTATAACAAACGTACTGTTGAAACGATGTTAAGTTCTTGTTTAAGTATCGCCTGTCTCTTTGTTTGTAAATATTTTGTTAGTATTTCAAAAGCTTGGACTTGACTGCTGAAAGTAATTTTAGGTGGACAATTTTT